TCCCAGATTTGGCCACTCCTGTTCCTGCTGCAGTGGGAATGTTGTGCCCATCACAGGTCGGGATTTGCTCCGGTGTTCCCAGAAGGGGATGAGAACAAACCTCCACTGACTGAATGTGAGGCTGTTCAGGCAGAAATCCCTGGAAAATCCTGTCCAATTTAAAACTCTCCCCACAAAAATCCTGAAAGGTGAAGATTCCTCAAGGTCTGAGTTGCTCCTGGTGGGCTAGAAACCTTTTGTGCCTTTGGGAGCATCCTCGGGCTGATTTTAGGATCTTTGGGAGTTGAGACATAAAAAGTTTTCCTTTTTTTCCATCCAGAGAGTGGGCAGCCCCTGGCACAGGTTGCCCAGGTTTGCTGTGGCTGCTCCTGGATCCCTGGAAGTGTCCAAGGCCTGGTTGGACACTGAGGCTTGGAGCACCCTGGGAGAGTGGGAGGTGTCTCCGGGGGTGGAATGGGATGGGCTTCATGGTCACTTCTAACCCAAACTGTTCCTGGATTCTGTGATTTTTCTCAGCTGGTGCTTGGTTTGCAATCCAGGTCAAAACTCTTCTCTTGACAAATCGGTTTATTTGCATTAAAAGTGCACAATCAAAGCTCGAGGGGGTAAATTCCATGTGGGGCTCCTTGTCCTGGAGCGATACCAGAGGGACAGATTTCCTTGATTTCTAAATAACTGGAATTTAGGAGGTCTTACCAACTTTTGGTTTGGATCTCATCAATATTGACACCTGGCCTCGTCCTGCTGTGCTCCCACACAGGGAAGATCAATCCCTGTTGGAAAACAGAGGTGGGACCGAGGTTGGTGATCTCGCAGGGCACTTCTGTGGATCCTTGGTGACTCCGGTTCCGTGTCCAGGCTGAAATCCCACGTGTTTCATGCCGAGGGCTGGGGCAGAGGAGTCCAGGGCTGGCAGCAGCATCCTCCAGCTCGTTATCCCAGATTTCCCTCTCCCATGACCGCCTGTGCGCTCCGGGCCCGCTCCGCCCTGCTTAACGATCCGTGTCCAGCTCAGGGCTTCATCCAAAACTTCGCCTTTTCCCACTCTTTGATTCTCCCCTCTGCGGAAGGAGAAGGATTACATAAAGTGGAGGGTTTAATGAGTGCACTGGGCTTGCTTTTGGGGGAATTTCCAGTGGATTTGGGGTTATAACTTCGTTAGGGCCCGGTTGGGAAACTCAGGGCAGCGCCGGGTGGGCCCGAGCCCCGACCCTTTGTTGTGTTCTCTTCTGAAGGACCGAGCGCTCCCGCCCCTTTTTGAAGTCCTAATTCCCTTTATGGGATGTTGCAAGGCCTTTCCATGGAGTGCTGCCTCTGAAGTCCGAAAATCCCGGTGCCAAAAACGCCCCTCTCCCCAACGGCCTCGCATCCTGACGTCGGGAGCAGAACTTGGTCCTGGGCAGTGTCCGCCCAGACCTTTCCCTCTGGGGCTTTGTTGCAAAAATTCCCATTGTTGGGATTAATCCCCGAAGAGATTTCTGTAAAGGGATGGGGTTGGGAGTCCCCTGGCTCAGCTGGGAGGAGCGCTCGGAGTAAATAAACTCCAGGGCTACTCCTGCTTTCCAACCACTAGAGGTCAAGGTTGTGCTGTGGGATAGCACATCCCACAAGGATTCTCCTCCCGATCCAAGGATTCGCTCCTGTTCCCGCTGCAGCCGCCTCCAGGGGCAGCTTTGTACACGGAATTTTATAGATTACCCAGCTCGTTAGTTAATTCAGAGCTGATTGTGCGTGCTCTGAGGTGAGGAGCACTTTGAGGTGGATTTTCCAAGGAATGGGATGTCCATGCCTGGGTTTTCCAAGGAATGGGGTCTTCATGCCATGCTTGGATTTCAGTAGTCCTCAGATGTGGGAGTTACTCCAGTGCTCGGTGGGGTTCTGCTTCCCAAGGGGAGATTCCAGAGAGAATTTCAGGCTGGCAAAAAAATCAAAGCTGCTCCTGAATTATTTTTTGGGAGGATGTTAAAACTTCCAAGTTTTGAAAAGGGAATAATCTGGGAGGTTTGCACACAGATTAAGCACACTTTGTGCTCTCTGCAGTTCAGGTAGCAAAAGTAATTAATAATTGGCGTATTTTAATAGTAATTAACAATGTTTTAATTCTCCCTTGGTGTCGCTGGCAGCTGGATCTCCAATAGGTTTAATGGTTTTCCTGCTTCCTTCTAAATCCAGGCTGCCACATTCCCATAGGGAATGCCTTTTGCTACCTCAGAGAATCCTGGAATTCCAGAGTGTCCAGGAGCTACCTGGCCTTGTGGAAAGTGTCCTTGCCCATGGAATGAGAGGATCCTGAAGATCCTGTCTGTGGTTCCATGATTCCCACACAGCTTTCTCCTGATACGTAAAAAATCCACCGCATAATACAGGGAGGAATCCTCTAAATCAGTGTCTAAATCTGTATGAATTCAAGGTTTTCCGAGTGTTTATTTCCCAGTTACACCAGCACGCAAACCCACGTGTCCAGCACCGCCACATCCATGGGATTGGCCTTTTTTTCCCTGGTTTTGGCTGGGATTTGGCCCTGGAGACCCCTTGTGTGTTCGTGCTATTCCATTCCTCGCCCTTCGGTTTGAACTCGCTCAACTCCTGAACAAGTGGGGCTGAACCGCTTTTCCTGTCAATTATTGTGCTCCATATCGAAAGAAAAACAATGGAATCTTTGCAGGAGGGCACAGCGTGACCTCAGCTGCCAGACAACCCCAAAATCCCTGGAATAACTCGGCGTGTTCCCACCCCTCCATCCCGCCGCTTCCAGCACGTTTCCCTTGAGCACCTTTTACAGCTCGTTCCGCACATCAACAATGTGCAATTAAACCCTCCTGGGCTCCCACAAAAATGCTTTCAGGAACCTCTGGGGTCCAGATGTGGAATGTTTTGTGCCTTTCCAGGGCTGGAAAAGAGGAACAGATCCAGCGTTCAGGAGGTCCCCGCGCGCGGCCGGTGACAGTCACCACATGGCCCGCGGGCGAGCGCCGCCGCAGCTGGGCCGTAAACGGATCAATGTGGCAGCACGGGGCCACGGCGTTGGGGTTTGGAAGGAGTCAGGAGCGCGTTTGGATTGTTGCATAATCCCTGGCCTGCTCTGCAAATGGATCTGGGAATATCTGGGTTGGGGAAAAGGCGACGTGTCGGAATTCCGCCGAGCGCGCGGCGCCTTCGGCCTCCTTTGTCCCCTTGCGGGGCTGGCTGCGCCTCGTGCCTGAAAACCAAATTAAATCCCGGGTGGAATCTGTGTTTTATCCTAGGCACAGCAGCAGAGGAACCTGGACAACATCGTGTCCCAGCAGCCCAGGATTAGTGGGGGGAAGAAATCCAAGAAGGAATTCAGCGCCAGCTCCGAGCTGGAGGTGAAGAACACCAGCCCCATGTCGGAGCAGGATTCAGGGATCCTGGATGTGGAGGATGAGGATGAGGAGGAAGAGGTAAACACCAGAGCAGGGACACTGGCCAGTGTGGGGTGGCTGTGGTGTCTCAAGGGGTTTGCTCCTTGCTCATGGGAGAGTCCTGAAGGTGCAGAAGAGGCTGGAGAATGTGGGATGTGTCTCCAAATTTGGTTATTTTGTGTTTTTATCCCTATTCCCATTGCTGGGCTCAGCACAGAGGCCAAGGATTGGGAACTGCCCACCCCAGTCTGGTGCGGCTGGAGAACATCCATCCCTCATGGACACATTGCTCCACAATCCGATTTTTGGCCTTCTCCTCTGTCCTAGTTTCTCTTTGGATAAAGTGTTGTGTTGGGATGGGAGTTGGAAATTTGAATTCCTTGGTGTGCTCCCTTCCCTTCCCTTCCCTTCCCTTCCCTTCCCTTCCCTTCCCTTCCCTTCCCTTCCCTTCCCTTCCCTTCCCTTCCCAGGACCTGGCAGAGGATTTTGGGAACCACAAACCATAACCTGGGGATGCAGTTAGTTTTTCCTTCCTCCCAGTGCTGCTTCACCTGGGATTTGGGATGTTTCCCATGGAACAGAGCCCCGTGTCTCAGAAAAGGCAGCTCAGAGGTCCAGACCTGCAGTGCAGGATTTGGGGATCGAGCCTTTGGATGTGTCCATCATTCCTTGGGATGCAGCCGTGTCCTGGAGCTTTTGGGAAGTCCTGTCTGCCCCTCTGGATGCTTTGTCCCATTTGTCATCCTGTTTTGTCAGGAAAATGATCCTTTCAGCTACAGCCAGTGCCTGGGGTGTTTGTCACCCGACCGCGACAGCCCCGGAGCAGCCAGGGAGGGGACCAAGGACAGGCTGGAAATTCGGATTCGGGGCTGTTCAAGCGGTTCTGGGATTTCTGTTCTCCCCTGAAAATCCATTCCCTCCCTTCCACAGCTGCTGTGCATCCAAAGCAGAGGGAGGCCACGGCAATGGGATGGTGGGGTCAGCCCTGAGCCCTCCCGGCCCTGATCTGGGACCCTCTAGGTGGGCTCCGTGTTCCTACAGCAGCATGGAATGAGGCTCCAGGGCTGGAGCCAGGCTGGGAGAGCTGGGAATGTTCCCCTGGAGAAGGGAAAATTCCAGGGAATGCTCAGAGTGCCTGGAGGGGCTCCAGGAGAGCTGGAGAGGGACTGGGGACAAGGGACAGAGGGACAGGAGCCAGGGAATGACTCCCACTGGGAAAGGGGAGCTTGGGCTGGGATCTTGGCAAGGAATTCCTGGCTGGGAGGGTGGGGAGGGGCTGGGCTGGAATTCCCAGATTTGCTGGGACTGCCCCTGGATCCCTGGCAGTGTCCCAGGCCAGGCTGGATCCACCTGGGACAGGTCCCTGCCTATGGACAGGGTGGGATGGCATCAAGGGTCCTTTCCCACCCAAACCTTTCCAGGATTCCATGGTTCTGGCCAATCTCGGGCAGGTGAATCCCGTCCCTGGGTGTGGTGGCACTTTGGTGACCTCACAGGAGGTGACCCTGCGCTGGGGAGGGGCAGGAGGGGCTGTCCCACCCCCGCCCCGGTCCCAGGAGGGGCAGTGGCCACTGTCTGTGGTGATGAAGCAGAGTGAGCGAGGGGCAGCAGCCACGGGACCCCCGGGAGCACCTGGCCAGGTGTCCTGGAGGAGATCCCATGG